AATTTAGCAATGAATGTCGATGATAATATTATCGCTTTAGAGAAGGAAATCGACGTTGATTTTTCAACTTTTCAATCACAACCCAGTAAAAAAAAGTGTGGAAAAAGATGTAGTGTTTTCATCACAACTAGTAACCCGAAGTGCTTCAAATTCGGGTGAAAAACCTATGAATTTTACATTAGCGTGTCATTGGACGGATGTTGTTAATTTTTAGCAACTTTGAACTACATATAATCTTACATTTAGAAGCAGTAAAAATCCGATATTGGGATATCAAAAATAAACCACATTCTTTCAATATCACTGGTTTTTCACCAAAACTTGATGTACCTCAAATATGTTGTTTGTAATGACTTTCAAATAAACTTTTGCTAAGCACACCACCAAATAATTCTGTAGGCAATACAGTAGTTTGTATAAAAAATTTATAACCCTGCAAAAAAATTTTCATGATCTCTTTAGTACGTATTCTATTTAATGCGTTTTAAATACATGCCTAAATTCTAATAAATTTGCCACAAGTGAAGGCACAAAAAAATGCACCCAATTCACTCAGTATTTTCCTCACAACCCAACAAAAAAAATGAGGAAAAAGAAGTAGAATTTTCACCACAAATAACATACTTGAAGTACTTCCAATTTTGGTGAAAAACCTATGAATTTTACATTAGCTTGTCATTGGAGGGATGTTGTTCATTTTTGACAACTTTGAACTACATATAATCTTACATTTAGAAGCAGTAAAAATCCGATATTTGGATGTCAAAAATAAACCACATTCTTTCAATGACACGCTTATGTTAATTTCACTGGTTTTTCACCAAAATACTTCGAATATGTTATTTGTAGTGACTTTTCTACATCTTTTTCCTCACTTTTATCTGGGTTTTCATTTGTAAGGAAATATTTGGTTTATAAAAGCGAAAAATATATAATCGCATTTTTAGATGTGATTAAGATGTCGTTTGTAAAGTATGACATCAATTATCTTTTGCTGGGCCCAGCAAAAAAGTGTAGAAAAATATGTAGTATTTTCATCACAACTAGTAACCCGAAGTGCTTCAAATTCAGTTGAAAAACCTATGAATTTTACATTAGCGTGTCATTGGAGGGATGTTGTTCATTTTTGACAACTTTGGTCTACATCTAATCTTATCTTTAGAAGCTGAAAAAATCCGATATTTGTATGTCAAAAATAAACCACATTCTTTCAATGAGACGTTTATGTAAATTTCGTTGGTTTTTCATCAAAATTTGAAGTACTTCGAATATGTTGTTTGTAGTGACTTTCCTACATCTCTTTCCCCATTTTTAACTGTGTTTTCATTTGTAAGGATGTGTTTGGTTTATAAAAGCGAAAAGTATGCAATCGCATTTTAGATATGATTAAGATGTCAATTATTTTTGATGGGAATTAAATCGAAATACCATTACCCAGCAAACAAATTTTGAAGTTGTTACAGAAGAAGGGATATTTTCATGATTTCTTTAGTAAGTATTCTATTTAATGCGTTTTAAATACATGCCTAAATTCTAATAAATTTGTCATCAGTGAAGGCATGAAAAATGCACCAAAATTCACTCATGTAACTCCACTATAGGAATTGTAATATTTTACTATAATTTGATATTCTCTTAGGAGATTTAACGAAAACGTGAATTTCATACAATAAACATTAAAAATGACATTAATTTTTTTATTAGATTTTTGTTAAAATTAGTAATATTAAGTCCATTTTAACATTAATAAGAGAAGGAAAAAAACAAGACTGCTTAACGGATTTTAAAACACAATGGGTATTTTTCCTCTGCATGAATTTAAATTCAATCAAAATCTTTTAGCTATGTTTTATCTTATTTTATTTTTATCAATATCACGCAAAAAAATTATTTAAATACTGATAATTAAATCGAAATACCATTATTAATGCATTTTTAAATAAATATAGTGCACCAATGAAAATTCGCTTGAGAATCATCGAATATTCATTGGTTATAAGAACTCATTTAAATGACGAACTATTTTTCCAAATACGAACCCATGCATGCCAATGACACGCTAATGTTAAAATCATGCATGTTTCCCCTAAATATGAACCATTTCATTATCAGTTCAACCCATGCATTTACTACTTTTTTGCACGTCTTTTTTTGCTGGATATTATTGGATTTTTAAATAAATATAGTGCACCAATGAAAATCCGCTTGAGAATCATCGAATGTTCATTGGTTGTATGCAGTCTTTTTAATGCCGAACTATTTTTCCAAGTACGAACCCATGCACGCCAATGACACGCTAATGTTAAAATCATGCATGTTTCACCTAAATATGAACCAGTTCATTATCAGTTGAACCCATGCATTTACTACTTTTTTGCACGACTTTTTTTGCTGGGAAGTTTAAATGTTTTGTTAACTCCAAATACACTTAGAAACTCCAAGACTCAAACTGAAGATGCGAGTAATTTTATCAGTCATCATGGATATTAATTTGAATATTTCGGTACTGCAATGGAACATTCAGGGTTTTACTACCCACAAATAGGCTTTGGAGAACATAATCGCGAAATATAAGCCCAATATAATCGCTCTCCAAGAAACACATATCATTAACAGTAATGTACAATATTTACATCTTCCTGGATATAAACTATACCATGATAATAAAAGTTTTGATTATGCCACGTCTGGAATAGCTATTTAATGTTATACAGTACACTAAATCAACTGGTTAGCTTCTGTTTCAGACTGTAACGATTAAAGGAAATTGTAATTTGAATATTACAAATATTTATAAAGAATGTGATATTAACGAATAATATGGTGAATAATATAACAAGAATTGATAATGAGCATCACTTAATTGTTGGAGACCTTAATTCTCAAAACACTTCATGGCGTTCTCAGTCTACATCAGGGGATGGTTTTATCTGGGAAGAGTATGATTTGAGTTTGGTAAATACTCGAAATATGCTAACTGTAGTTTATGTCTCCATGGCAACCGATCAATTTCCAGTTCTAATTAATAACAATAAAATTATATATAGAAAACGATTCCAACCTAAATTTTTGGAAAACCGACCTAACTAGTATAATTATTCATCGAAAATAACTTCCATTTTGGAGGATTTTTCTCAATCAACCAGCATCAATAGAGAATCTGTCCAAATAAAAAGGATTACCAGAAAAGCTGCCAATGAAACAATACCGCAGAGCAAACAAATTCATAATAAAAACTCCCTTGCATGGTTTAACACTTCTATAGCAAAACTGATAAGGAATAAATATAAGGCCAGGAACCTTCTTATGAAACATAGAAGTCCGACAAATGCCATAAATTGCTAAAGCGGGCTACATGGAACAATTTTTTGAATTCTTTAAATCCGTTGTTAGATGGGCGTACATTGTTAACATAAAGACCGGTTGGTTCAGATATAACTTTTAATACTGCTATAATAACAAAAAAGCGTTCTTACATCTCACTTCAAGATGATTCATCAGTAGGTGCAAACAATTATCTTTATCGACTTTACCATCGATGAACTCAATCATGTATGTACTCGGTAATGTCAAAGCACAACACCATCAAGTGATCGAATAACATACTCAATGATTAAAAATTCACCAATTTTACAGAAAATAAGACTTTTACAGCTGTACAACAATATCTTGAAAAGTGGCATTTATCCTCACGACTGGAAATTTTCTCTTCTTACATCCATTCCAAAGGTGGGAAAAACCCGAACAGACACGAAGGTTATCGTCCTATTTCCCTGATACCTGTGTTACTAAAGGTCTTAGAAATTTAATTTAATTACAACCAGGTTTAGAAAACTAGTTGTGGATAATATTTCTCATGTACAACACGCATTTCTTCCTAAACGCGGCTTTCATACAATGTGTCACCAACTTGAGAACAAATTGAGGCAAAATTTATCTAAGAAAAAACATAATGTGGTGTTATCGGAAGACATTGAAAAAGCTTTCGACCGTGTTGTGTCCACCTTTGTTTTGAATGAAATGCTTGAATGGGGTGTACCTTTCCAAATGATTAAGCTACTTTATTCGTTCCTTTCCAATCGTATGGTGAAGGTGAAAGTTGATGGGTATTTTTATTCCATGCATCAATTGGATAATGGGGTACCGCAAAGTTCTTCGTTATCAGTGCCTTTGTTTAATGTATATGTCAATTCTCTGGCTAAATCGATTGAGGCAATTCCGGGCATTGAATTTGTTTGCATATACGCAGATAACATTTTTGCATTGGTTATAAAAAGAATGATTCCACTATATTGAATTTCGTTTCTTCGAGGCATGCTTTGGAGTTGTACACTTCCACAATATATTAAAAACTTAAAATGTATAACAGCTGATATCTAAAACAATATATAGAAGACAAGTTTCCCCGAAAATTTTTGACCCTAGTATTATAAAAATGGACTTGAGTTCCAATAAATTGAATTAGCGATAGAAGAATGATTCCAATAATATATCTTGGAACGTTTATATACAGAATCTTGTAACAAAAAATATTATTTTTAGATACCGCAAGGGGTATATTAAATCCCAATAACAAATTTTGGTTTTATCTCTGGGAAGAAGGAGAAAAAAATACAAATATTGCAATTTTAATGATACTATATGAAAAGATGGTACAAATGCCCCAAAATTGTGGATCAAATGCTTCAAAAATATATCCATTCGGTTGATAGTTACCCTTAAAACAATTTTTAGCAAAAAAACCATTCGATTCTAATTTTTGTGTTTCGTATAATATAGTCAAATATGAAATACAGAAAAAATTCGTATACTTTTTTGAGGTAATTTTATGGACTGTCTAGACAATTTAACAAATTAATTTATTAATTTTGCATACAAAATATGTTATTAAATTTGGTTTCTTTTCATATTATACCTAAATTCGAATACTTATGAGAGACACTGTATGTAACAATTTACATGTATCATTTAAAAATGTTGAAAAATATGTAAACATTTACCTTAATAACGCTTTCATCTTCAGCAAAACATGAACTTTGTAAAGTAACATCTGCCACTTTTCCTCCCTGTGATACAATAAAAACCTTCATTGCTTGGGCGACCTGTCGTCCTGTTAGCACTGCAGTATTCATCAATTCCCAGTTCTGAAATTAATAAATATGTATGTAAAAACATTGAATGCAAGCCGAATTATATTATGCTATGTTTCCACTGAGGCGTTTTGATTTAGATTTGCCATACAGTTTTGACAAATCCAAATCTACTTAAATTACTAGATTTGATTGAAAACATGTCGAAAATTTATTTTTTCGAATAAGATTTGCTTATGCAACACTGCGTTGTGTCTAGGATAAGCAAATACAACTATAGGCTATCCATTAAAGTTGAATGTTTTTCATTGAAAAAGTGACTTTTCATTTCGAAATAAAAACAATACAAATTATAATCTTAAAATTAGTGCTATTTAATAAACAAATTTATACTTTTACAACTGCAATTTTGTATTTTTAATGTATAAATTTGAAGGAAATTAACATTACTGTCGTTATATCAAAATAAAATGACTGGATTTGTTCGAAAATTCGAAAATCAAAAACTAGTAAGCTCAGTGGAAACACCTTGAAGAGGTTTACGCAAATCTAGTAGATTTCAAGCCAGTGGAAACATAGTATTACTAAAATACGAATGTGGTTTTGATAAGCTAAAAAAAATCAATATAATTTTAATATTTTTTGTGAACTACCACATAATTCGAAATTCGGCGAATCTAAAACAAAATTGATAGGTATAATAATACGCAATTGAAACCATTCCGATTAAAATGTGTGACAGACCTGATATTATAGAAATTTTCGTTTATGGGTGCACCGAATTTCATCGAAGTCAGAGAGAATATCATACGAAATATGTTCAAGAAAATTTAAAACGTAAAAAGTTTTACATACCTTTGCCATTGGCAATACTGCTTGTGTATCATCTTTATTAACTTCAAGTTTAACAATTATTCTTTTTTTATTATCTTCAGGCGAAAGATCGCCTAATGCATCCTTTGGATTATCATATATGTAGGTAACGGACCAAACAATTTTGCCACCTTCTATTAAATCTTTTGTATCATCAGCAACCTCCAACAAACAAGTAAATATTTCATTAACTCTACAAAAGATATAACAAAAATAATTTTATAAAATAACAATACGAAATAAAATGTAAGATTAAAACATACCTTCTCTCGTTTATTGTTGACGAAGTATTATTTTCAAATTTCTTTTTTATAGCTGTGACACGTACTGTAGAATGCTTTGTGTTATCTCTTTCTATTGAAATGTTCCACAAGTCTGATGATGCAGTTGCTCCTATTATTTTGATTCCTGATTTTATACGAGCTTTTACGGTAAATGATGAAATATTTTTCTCTGGATTTTGTTGCAAAAAAACGGGCACATGAAATTTAGACAATGGATACAGAGGTTGTTGTGGCAAAAGAATAATAAGAGATTCGTCAACATTAAACTCCTTAAATGGTTCTAAAGGCGTTACAAGAGGAACTTGTGCGAAACTGGTTAAAGGCTGTATTTGCACTTTTGGTTCGCATAACTCTGGATTCCTTATCGGAGGCTCAAACACGCTGTATGAAACTTGAACAAGACGTTGTGGGACTTTGCTAGGGGTACTATTCGAATGTTCTTTACGAGGTGGTGGTAGCGTATGAAACCAATTAAATGGTATAACAACCTACATATATTGAAAAAATATATTAATAATAAAAATAAATAAAAATGTAAGTAAAAACGAATACCTCGGCAACACAAACTCCATCTTCTCCCTCTGGCATACATCTGCCTTTAATTGGTAAATGATTATTACTAGAAACATGTAATAATACACATATTTTTTGTCGTTGTAAATGTCCACCAGGATCGGCACCTGCATGAAAAAGAACACGCAATACTGGAGAGTCCTGTGATACGACAGTACTAACTAAATGTGCTGATATGTCCAAGTGAAGATTTGACTGTTGTAGTTCAATTAAAGCTGCAGTTGTGTTCTTAAATTAAAAAATAAGAAAAAATTATTTCTTTAATCATTTGCAACATTTACAAATTAAAATACAGTTTAAAATTATACGTTCCGAAGAAAATTTTTAGTATATATGCTAAAGAACTAGTTCTAGAGCTGAGGCCTTTACAATGACGTATATGATGATTAAGTAACCTGGAGAAATTTGTGTCCATTTCATTGGCAAATATATTTTTAATTTTAAATACATACAAAATTTTTATTACTTTTATGTTTTTTAATGTTTTCAACGTAAATTATAATCGAAATTTGCCACGTGAATAAATTCGCATTCAGTAAAGAGCGGGTATTTTCAATTGTATTCGTTTAGCTTCCACAGAAGAAAAAAGTACTATAAAATACATCTTATAGATTCTCATTTAATAAAAAATGTTGTTTCTGTGTGCAATATTATAGAAAATTCTAAAAATATAATTTGATGGACGAAAAAGTACTAAAAGCCCCTTTCATTAGATTCTCATTCACTGAGGTCCCTACATGTTAAATTTTATATTTCTCGTAAAAAAATCAAAAAGTACCATCTAAAAAACGGAAAAGTACAAATATCTGCCTCAATAAATTCTCATTTAATAAGGACTGTGTGTCATTATAAAAAATCCAAAAGGTAATATTTGAGTGATAAAAAGTTCTAAAAAGTTCTGTCTTAAATAATCGTATTGAATAAGGACCGTGTATGTTTAATAATCATGTATGTTTAATAATCATGGACTAAAAGTGGAATAAATTATTTTTTGTCAGTAAATTAACAATTTTTTTTAAGTTCAAAAGTTATATAGGGCCATAAAAGTACCAAAATCACCTTATTTACAAATATTCTTCCCTTAAAAGTACGAATTTCGAAAAAGTAACAGACACCCATGTATTTAAAATTTTTCTTGTATCACTAATATGGCGTAAGATAATCAAGAAAACCTGTTTTACTCCTTTTTAACACCCCCCTAAGTATACAAATTTCAAAAAATCCCTCCCTGTTGGATCTACATTACCATCTACTATCAAAATTTCATGATTCTAGGTTTAACCGTTTTGGATGATATATCAGTCAGTCAGTAACGCTACTCTTTTATATGTATGCATATGGGCAATTTCATGTCAAGTGACCCAACCCAAAAAATCGATTTTGATGAAATTTTCACCAAGGATAGTACTATTGGATAGTAGGCCAGAAAACAATTTTCATCTCTATGGGTCATACAGGGTTGTATTCAAATGAGTGTAATTTTTCACCTATTTTTTTTTTTTTAAATAATAAATTTTTTTCAAAACATTTTTATAACTCAAGAATAAGATTTTTTCAATATTTGGCACTTAATTTTCCCTTAATTTTTTTTGATCACTTTGTGGAAAAAATTTAATTTTTTTTAATTTTTTTTTTTGGAAACAACAACAATTGGTGAAAAGTCCTCCAGTTCTTGATCGAAAGAAAATTTGTTTCTGGTTACTATCCAATAGTACTATCCTTGGTGCAAATTTCATCTAAATAGGAAGACATCGATTTTAAAAGTTGGTTCACTTGTCATGAAATTGCCCATATATAGATTACTAGAAGTCTATACTGTTATAAAGTAAACTTTTTTTTCAAAATTAATAAGTGAATTTATAAAAAATACGTCCAAATGACTAAGTAGTCCAATTTGGACCTGTCAAAATAATAGCACCAATAAATTTACTGTTGACAAAAAAGCAAAGTATAGCATAATATTTTATTAAAACCGATTAAAATAGGTAAGCTGCTATTTGTATTATTAATTAGTAAAATCGGCTTTTAACAATTATAGCATTAGAGTTAAAATAATAGGCTATTTTACGCACTGCAAAGAAGAAACTCGTGAAAAAAATTAAAAAACCGATTTCATGGGGAAACATAATCCCTATAAAAATATTGTGGGATGTTCAAATAAAATTATTACAAATTATCATATCTTACAAATTTAAAGCGAAATAGCTGGACTTAAAACCGCTAATGTTAAATCATTAGAGGCATAGTGCGATAAATAAAAATAACTTAAATTTTCTTGGAACTGGAAGAAATATTAAAAGATTTATCTGCTAAAAATTACTGAATCTATATCCATGTGACTATTAGAACACACTTTAAACGTTTACAGCTCAAGAAAAGTACTATTCTTGAAAACAAGCATGTAATAATAGTGTTAGAGTATGTTAAAACTCATTTAGATTAGCCAGTTGAAAACAGGGACAATGAGCAGAGAGGTCCAGAATTATTTTATTTTTTAGAAAATGTTCTCGATCTTATGTATGAAGTCTTCCAAACTCCGCAAAATATGGCGTTTTACTAATACGGTTTTTTAATGCTTTCCGTTTTATGATATAGCACCCATTACCCATATATTTACTATCATGGAAACATCGGAATACGTTAAAATCCTTATGCAAATTATACTGTCGAATGTATCAGATTTTTGTCATGTAATAATACAAACCCACATAACACCTGAAGAAAAGTCAAAAACTGGATTATGGATAATAGAGCCAGAATCCAATTTTAACCCAATATACAAACACAACTTTTAAATAATACACTTTTTTATTAATTTTAAATTAACTAAGAGAGTGGTGCTATTATTCTGACAGCCGCTGTAAATGTATTAGAAAACTATGTCTGTTTATGTAAAATACAACTTTTTGATGACGTTATTGTTATTTTTCTTAATACAAAATTGTTCAAAAACTGATTTTCTGAAGGATACTTTGTATGGGGGATAGGGTTAAAAGTTATGTAAAATACAACTTCGTTTTTAGAAATCCGTTAGCAATTGATGACGTTATTGATATTTTTCTTAATACAAAATTGTTCAAAAACTGATTTTCTGAAGGATACTTTGTATGGGGGATGAGGTTAAATATTGGCCGATCCTCATAAAATTTGGTGGAAGGATTTATGTTTATATAAAAGTTATTTATACTGAATTTCGTCGTGATATTATTTGTATGGGACTAGGGTCATCATCTTTCAGAAAATCAGTTTTTGAACAATTTGCTGGAAAAAACTGCACTCATAGAATAGTATGCAATAATTGTTCCATCTCTGAAGTCGATACTCTAAGAATACTTGGGCTAAACATAAAAAAAAATATAAATGGAATACTCATATTCTCCACATCACTAACAAAAAAACTTAATGTTATAAAATGCTTATCCAGCCAACAATTTAATAGTAACACTTCAACTTCGGTTACACTACTGTTGACTACAGTTAAATATAAGGGATATCACAAAATTTTGAAAGACTATTTCTAGGATACAGAAAACTGTCCCATAGACACTTAGTAAACCTAAAGCATGGATTTTTTTCAGTGATACGTTATGGTGGAATTCACAAAAAGAAGTGCTCTATAAGGCTTCTAATGGCGAGTGAAATTATTACATATTTCTAAACAAATGGAGGCGATTTACTCGTTGAATTAATAGCACGGTGTGACAAAATTACATAAAATCAATACACTAATCGCGAGACCTAGTGAAGTTGGTAGGTCTAGTAGAGTACATTACAGTACCATTTTTAGAATCTTCAATATACGCTAAAAATCGGAAGATATTGAAAAAAAAAAACGCTTTTTGTTGACTAGACAGACCAACAAAATTATATCTCAAAATTTTCTTAACCGATTTAATATTTTTCAACTGTTTTGAAAAGAGTTTCCTTTGTCCTTTTTAAAAAGTATACACACTTTTATATTTTTTACGGAAATGTGTAAAATTTTTAGATCTGAATACAAATTTGTATATGTTTTTTTCATTTTTTCCTTTTTAAAAAGTATACACACTTATATATTTTTTACGGAAATGTGTAAAATTTTTAGATCTGAATACAAATTTTTATATGTTTTTTTCATTTTTTTACAATTCAAGATCGATTTTTAGGGTATATTGAAGATTCTAAAACTGGTAAAATGATCTACTCATCTAGGTCTATAAAAAGCATTATATCGCGTAACGAGTGTTTTTTAGTGTCACACAGTGTAATAGTTATCCATCAAAGATGTAAACTAAAAGTATACCCCAAATAATCGATTTGTACTTAAAATTTGCCGGCCCCCCTTGCAATATGTACTTAAGGGGTTGAAACTAAATAAATGAAATTTTTCCAAAGTAAAATGAGCCATGATGAGACTCCGGTTATAACTACTTTAACTACGGTTTAACTACTTTCATTATGGACCCTGGTTGAGCTATGATAATACTCCGGTTTTTTCTACTTGCGTCATTATGGACCCGTTTGAGCCATTATGAGACTCTTGAGCCATTAAGAGACTCCGATTAAATCACTAACATGTTTCTAAATTAACATGTTGCATTGTTCTGAGGTTTTCTCAATACTTGTTGAATTTACGAGATCTGTTAGAAATCCACAATTAATATATCCATGTATTAAAAGTATGTGAAATAAGCTACGAAAATTAGTTATCAAAAAATTTTATTTTAGCAAGTTAACATGAATGTTACTCAAATACTGCTAAATTAACAGAATATTATGAAGTTAGCTACATTTTCTGTTTTGGTATCTATGCCTTTTTTTGAAAAAAAAAAAAAAAAAAATAAAAATATTGAATATGTCAATTTGTACGTAAATATATTTTCATAACTGAAAAGTCGGTCAAAAATGGAAAGGTGCTGTTTATATGACCTGGAAATTAGATAGTTATGAGTCCAGGATCTCAAATCCATATTTTAAATTTTCAAAATCTGTATAGCTTTTTTTGATTTTTTTTAATATTTAATATTAAAAAAAATCAATAATATTTTTTTTAATATTTAATCTGTATGTAGATATATTTTCATAACTGAAAAGTCTGTCAAAAATGGAAAGGTGCTGTTTATATGACCTGAAATTGGATAGCTATGGATCCACGGGTCTCAAATCCGTATTTTAAATTTTAGGAGGATGTATACTACATGAAATCCGAAGAAACACACCTAGACCACTCTCGGGACTGTTGTGCGCTC